ACATCCCAAATCATTCTTTTACTTATTTATTCAGTTATTCACTTAACAGACTTTGTGACAAATATTATGCTGTGTTAAGTCTTACAGATACAGTGGTGAAAAAACAAAGTCCCTGCTTTTATAAGTTGTTTTAATCCATAAATAAAAATACATAAAATGTAGGTAGTGATAAGAGCTAGGAATGGAAATCTAATAGGGGAGAACAATGGCAAGCAAAGGTGGATGAGAGACCGTGCGGGGTGGGGGATGGGTTTGGATTCAGGCAGGGCCTCTTGGATAAGATGCTGCTGATGTAAGTGACTCAGAGACCAAACCTGGAGAAATACACCCTTTAAACAGGCTAAGGAAAAATATAATCTGTGCCAAGCTCGAACTTGGTGTCAGATATTTCATGTTTTCAAATTTCCCACTTCTCTTGGTACTTACCAGTTCGCTCCTATGTCCCTGCAATTCCTACCCCCAACCCCTCCCCGCCCCCCACCACACACACAACACAAATCACACATATTTTTATTAGAAAGCTGTTGCCAAACGCTTAAAATAAAGGTTTGGCATAACTGTAGTATGAAAAAGAAAGAGTTTGTTAATAAACCATGTGATGAAATTGCCCAAAAGTTGGTAATCCTAGGTAAAAGAAGCATGGTACCCTAGAGTACAGGATGTGATTGTTACACTTTATTTTATTCCACTCAGGAAATCCCTCATAAGTTATATCCAGGTCTAAGTGCTTAGATTTAAAATTGATTCAGACCAAGTGAGCTTATTCAGAGGCAAGCTCCCAAGATGGGAGGAGGGATTAGCACTGTCTCATGGAAAGAAAAGTTGAAAGAGCTAGGGATGTTTCTGTCTTCCTGGAAAACAGATGACACAAGTGAGACATAAAACCTCTCTCCAAACATCTGAAGGTCATAGGGGAAGGATGAGATTTTGTTGTCTGTGGTCCCCCAAGGCAGCAGTGAGAGAAACAGATGCAAATTCCTAACCCCAGGTTTGCAATTATACAAACATGGACTCAAAAGCCTCAAGCGGAAGGCCCCTTATTAGAGAAGAAGCAGAGGCTGGTGACCACACACTGGGTGGCAATGCAAAGGTCTTCAAGACCCAAAAGCACGGTGGCATTAAAAGACCACGGAGGTCTGCTAAGAGAACCTGTGACGCACGATTCATGTTCTGTGACTCATAACAGCATGACTGCTTGCTCCCATGAAACAATACTCACTCTCACTCTCCCAGGCCTCTCGAATCAGAAGTGACGTTGGTGCTGTCTGGACAGTCAGCCACGTGGGAAGAAGGGAACATGACCAGAGGCAGGTGGCCTTTCCAAGGGCCCTGCGTGGCCTTTCGGCGTTTGCTCCCTCCTGGGGGGCTGCCCTTTTTCTAGCAGCCCTAGTCATCTCCCAAGCGGCCCCCACCGATCTGTTCACACCCCCCCAGGACAAGCTGCCTCTTTCAGAGCCACCAGACAGGGTGTTCCCCAAGATTCTATCTTTTTCAAGATGAGATGTCAGAATTATTGAAATCAACAACTTCAGTGTTTCTCAATCCCTTCAAATGATATGTTCATGATGTGTTTTGTAAGCATGCATTACTTGAGTGTATTTTTAATTGGCTTTCCTATTTAAATTAAAATCTTACAATAATGTGATCTCTCACAACTATAAATGGGAAATCAGCATCATTTTACATGAAAATAAACACAATGAAACCTAACCAGTTAAGTTCTAAAGAGACATTGTGACCAGCAGACTCCTGGATTTTGAGGTCTGGACTCCTTTTATGAAAAAGAGATGGAGGAAAGTGTTAAAAATGTATAAAATCATGCTAGCACAAAACTAGCCTTTGACTTAACCTGAAGTACCAGGAAAAAAAAAATTAAAGAAACAAATGTTTGCTTTACATTAAGTCTATTATTTAATTATATTTAATCTTAGATTACCTCTGATCACCTTATATCCTATCAGTGGTACCTATCCCATAATTTGGGATATACTGAACTGATAAAGCTAATATCCCCATCTTAGGAATGACATGAAGCCTCAAGGCACTGAAGTTACCCAGGTGGGCAAAACTTCAAGGAAAAATAAACTAGAACATGGCAGGCACCACGGAAAACCCACAGAGACATCTTTTTTTTTTTTTAAGATTTTATTTATTTATTTGACCGAGAGAGACACAGCGAGAGAGGGAACACAAGCAGGGGGAGTGGGAGAGGGAGAAGCAGGCTTCCTGCGGAGCAGGGAGCCCCATGCAGGGCTCCATCCCAGGACCCTGGGATCATGAACTGAGCCGAAGGGAGACGCTTAACGACTGAGCCACCCAGGCGCCTCTCCACAGAGACATCTTTAGTCACCTACATATTAGGCCCCCCTTGAACTGGAATTTCCATGTAAGTGCTACCACAGAGACAGGCAGGACTTGCTTCTGGCTCCTAATGCAGTTCCCATTCACCTAGATTCCAGGGCAGCAATACAAGGTTGCCCAGTTCAAACAGTTCACTCGTTCAATCATCCAAAAAAATATGCCCAGTAATGACTGTGTACCATGTACTGCTCTAGATACTGGAAACACAAAACCAAAAAAAAAAAAACAGACAAGGTTCCTGCCCTTACCTCCATATTTACATTGGATCATGGGGGCAAGAGAACTAGTACAAGTAAGCCAGGGTTTCTCAACCTGAGCATGATGGACATTTTGGGAAGGATAATTCCTTTTTTTGTAAGAGGCTGTCCTGTGCACTGAAAACAGGACCCTACTCTCTAGATTATCAGTAGCAACAGTCCCATTCCCCCCCCCCCAATTGTGACAACCAAAAATGTTCTCTAGATATTACTGAATGTCCCCTGAAGGACGAAATTGCCCTTGGTTGAAAACCACTGCTCTGAGGCCTTCTTCCCTACATCCAAAGCAAGAGTGCTGCACTGTGTAGCTCGAAGGAGTAACATTCACTGTAATTCTGTGTGAAGTTATCCCTCAGAGCTGTGCAACTGTACATCACTCAAAAGCAGCGGCTCTGGGCGCCTGGGTGGCTCAGTTGGTTAAGCGACTGCCTTCGGCTCGGGTCATGATCCTGGAGTCCCGGGATCGAGTCCCACATCGGGCTCCCTGCTCAGCAGGGAGTCTGCTTCTCCCTCTGACCCTCTTCCCTCTCGTGCTATCTCTCATTCTCTCTCTCTCTCTCAAATAAAAAAAAAAAATTTTTAAAAAAAAAAAAAAAGCAGCGGCTCTGCTTTACTGTGCTGTGGGTGGAATTACATGCTCTGATGGTGAGATACATTGATTTGAAAGTTTAATAAAAAACTAGGATAGAGAATACCTATCAAATTTCTGGTGCATTTTTAAATTGCGTTCATGAATACTGCTTCTTTTTTTGTCTTTTCTTCTCTCTGTCATGCACACACAGACACATACAGAGGTCTGGAACCCTCTTACTTTGTTTAGCATGCCTTTACTTCTAAGTAGCAGCCCAAAGAAAGCAATGAGGCAAAAGCACCATTGATGACTGGTTGCTGTATAATTCTAGAGAGTTTACCCTTCTTCTGGAAATGAGAACATGAATCTCAGGAATTTTGAAAGTTGTGTGTGAGTAGACAAAGGAAGAAATATCCTTGATCCACAGACACCTTCTTTTTAGACATTAGAACAGAGTAATGCTTCTCACCCCTGGCAGTCCAAAAAATCACAGGTATAAGTTGAAAAGATCAACCACTACCACCATCACCACCACCACCACCACAAAATAGCTATCTGGGCTCCAGCTAGAGTTTTAGAAGATCTTCCCAGAGAACCTTAGATCTAAAAAGTGCCACAGGTAATTATTATTACAGGCAGTCAAAGGTGAGAACTATTGTTCTAAGTTGTCAAGAAACACTGGGGAAAAATTATGCAGGAAAATAAGGCCTGCAGCACATGTATGATCCATTTATCTCTGCATCTTCCAGATTGCAGATACCACGCTGCACCCGCCACACATTGATACTTGCCCCAAATAAGTGAAAACCCTTAGCATTTAGACTTCTTCCAGACAGGATACCAAGATAGTTTGGGGGGTGTGTGTGTGTATGCACATGCACGCACACACACACACACACACACACACACCCCAGCAGTTACCAAACACAAAGACGGTATGGTACTCATCTGTGCCCTGTGACCTAGAAGTCACTGAATTCCAAGGGTCACTTGACTGACCCCACACTGTAAATCAACGTGGTATAAACCATGATCACTGAAAATGTCTGAAAAGGTTTTCATAATCACACGAAACTCTAGGAAGTCTTCCCTCTTGCCTTTGAATCATAACAACTGGAACTCTAGTCTTTTCAGTGGATAAAAAATTTTTAAACGATACACAATTAACTAAGTCACAACAAGTAGCTCAAAACATCATTTTTCCCAGAAAACAACTGCTTTTTGAGACTGTAATTATAGTAGGAAGCCAGTGAGAAGGTTAAGAATGAAAGGGTCTATGAATAGCATTCTGAAAGGAAAAAATAAATTCTAGTAAAATTTCATAGGGCAGAAATGGGCCCCAAAGGGCAGACCCATTATAGCTAGAGACAGCAGTAGGCAGATCCTGGTGCATGAGCAGAAAGAAGGGCAGAATCAATTAAAAATACAAGTCTAACTTCTTGGCATGGTTTACAGAGCCCTGCATGGTCTTCTCAAGCCTCTTTCCTTCCAGCTCCCTGTGTTCCAGTTACAGTTGTCATCTTCAAGACCCTAGAGAAGGCCTAGCCCTTCCTCCACTCAGACTTCAGAGCTCAACTTCTCCCAGCTCTGACAGCTCTCAGCCCACTTTCTGTCCTCAGAGAGGCCTCCTCATGAGCTGGGGCAGGGATCTTCTCAAGTCACCACAGCACACTGCTTTCCCTGAGAAGCAGACTCTGGTCTATTAATGAGGGAGTGGAGATCAAAGCATGGGGAAAGGATAGGAAGAAGGTGAACTGGACAAAAGGGAGAAGTGAAGTGGTAATACAGTGTCAGGAGAGGTCTCAGCCTACCTTACAGGGAGTTCTGGGGTGGGCATGATCCTTAGAGCTGTCCTGAGTTGGGCCTTTATCCCTCCAATATCAGGCCTTAGATGTGGGTTGCCCTGGAAAGGAGACATGACCTTGAGCAAGGGAGTACTCTTCAGTGGAGGCAACCTAATGGGTTGGGAAGTGACATGTGAGGGCTGATTGCTGACAGCACTCCATGCAGGATAGGGAGCAACTGATCCTCAAAGGCTGATCGGGACAGGACATTACAGAATCCACCACTGTGACTTTACCTCACTATCCCTCCATTTTCTCATTTGTAAAATGGGGATGATACTAACAGTCTTAAAAGGTGTACAATATCTAACATGATGACTGGCTCAATGTAAAGTTCTCAATAAATGTTAAATTTGCATCTATACCTAATCTATTCAAGAAAGGATATAGATGTATATCCTTTGATCAGAGAGCACTTTGTTTTTAAAGACTATACCTTCCTTTCTCCCTTCATCCATTCACTCACCCAATATTTACTGAGTGCCTACTAGGTGGTAGGGATTTTCTAATACCTGAGGAAAAGTGTTACTAGTTCTTGTCCAAATAGAGCTTACATTTTAGTAAAGGAAAGAGAAAAATAAGCATGTAAATAAATAAGTAATAAGACACTGTTGGGAGTATTAAATGTTAACTGAAGGATGAAGAAATGTGTTTCTTAAGATACTATATTATTGGATTCCATTAGTGGGTCACAAAAATCCAAAACAAACTTAATTAAGAGGAATTTATTGGCCTACAAAAACTAGAGAAAAGGCAGAGGGAGAACCAGCCCCAGGGAACTCTGGATTCTGGAGCCCAAACACCATCAATGCCATCTTGCTTTACTGTTGTTTCTGTCTTGCTTGTTTGCAGCATCATTTGCTGTGACCAGCCTCTTATTCCAGCTTGAGTTTAATAAATCCCCAGCGAAGAACTTGTTATGACCACATTTGCATTACCTGTCCCACCTCCAGAACTATGGTGTTATGGGAACATGACTGTTTCAAAATTTGGTATCTATACACCCTTACGGCTAGGGCAATAAAAGTAACGTTAGTAATAACTACGGAGCTTTTACCATGTATAAAATGTAATACAGTTAAATAATTTATCTATTAAAAACAAACTCTAAGTACTATCATCTCCTCTTTAGTGATGAAAAAACTAAGGCTCGAGGTGATTAACTTGCAAGAGCACACACATGAACAGTATGTACTGAAGGTCAAATTCAAGCCCACTTAAATCAGATCTCCAAACCACACACTCATAACTACTAGATAATTAGGCCATACTAATGGTGGTTACTATATAGTTATATCATAATAAGTATAATTATTTCATTACCTTAATTAATCCATGCTAATCGGTCTTCCATCCAACATGAAGGCATGATAATTGGGTACTCACAAATGAAAAGCATATCCATACAGGGGCTGACTAAATGGGGAATATTGTAAGAAAAAATAGCAAGGGAAATCAATGTGAAATACTATTTAATGCTACAATCCTTGAGACCAATTAGATAATGATTGACCAATTTAACCAGATCTAATTCATGTCGAGGTTTGCATGCTTCCATTCAGTTGAGTGGGATCTAGAGTACATTTGAAAATCAGTGAGGCACAGTGAAGTGTGTACTAGTCCAAAAGTTGGGAGGCAGAAAATGTAATTCCAATTAAATACGCAGTTGACCTTGAATGGGTCAACATCTCAGTAACTAACCTATAATGTAGAGATAGTAGCACCTGGGCTACCTAGTTAATGCATTTAATATGTATCCCTTAAGGGTAAAGATAAACATGAAAGCATTTAGAGTGTTTATCAAGCAAAACATAGCAGTGAGGTTTTAAAATACCAAATAGAAAAAAAAAACACGTATCTGTATTCTTTCTTATATCTGTGATGCTAGAGAAAAGATTAAATGTTTAACAAAATATGGTCAAAAGTAAACTTTGTAAAGCTGAAACAACTGTAATTTAAGTGAAGCATAAAGATGCCCCAATCAAACCAAATATTTACACATTTAAATAACTAACAAGGTATAAAATAAATAATTTTCCCTTTCCTAGATTTAGAAATCTTATAAAATTTTATTTTGACCAAAATAACTTTAGAAGTATTCTTATGTATTTAATAAGAGAAAAAGAAAACACTTTACTAGTGGTCTTTCTAGATGTAATAGTTGAAAACTTTGGCTTGAAGGCTCATTTTTTATCATTTTATTTTATGGTCCTTAGATTTCAATTTCCAACTGAGCTTGATATTTTTAGTTGGAAAACTAAATTCATTTTAAATAGGACTGTAAAAATGTGACAATTACAAAGGGAATGATTTGAGAAACCAGCCATAATGGGAAATTAAATGTCCCACCGAAACACTTTAAAGGCCTTTTAGCAGAAGAAATGTGTGCTATAACATTTAATCTAAGATAATAGAAACTTCTAAAGTGTGGATTAAAGAAATGTAAGTAAAGTTGCTAAGAAGTGGAATTGTGTTTTTTTTTCCAAGTCCACTTCTCCTATACAAATTAAAACCACAATGAGATACCACCTCACACCAGTCAGAATGGCTAAAATTAACAAGTCAGGAAACGACAGATGTTGGCGGGGATGCGGAGAAAGGGGAACCCTCCTACACTGTTGGTGGGAATGCAAGCTGGTGCAACCACTCTGGAAAACAGTATGGAGGTTCCTCAAAAAGTTGAAAATAGAGCTACCATACGATCCAGCAATTGCACTACTGGGTATTTACCCCAAAGATACAGATGTAGGGCTCCGAAGGGGCACCTGGACCCCACTGTTTACAGCAGCAGTACATGCTGTACTAAGAAAGGGAGATTATATTGCACAGGATGCTTAGGATGCTTTGATGCATTTCTTCTTTCCCCTTCCTTCTCCTGCTTTCTCTTGCCTCTTTGCAGAGAGTGTGGTGGTGGATGTAAAAGCATTAATCTTTGATCTTTGTGCATGAGGCTTTCTTCCACTGTAGGACCAATTTATGACAGACTAAATTAGCCTTTGATCAGAAGCCTTGATTTACTTCTTAATTCTCCGCTTCATCACTAGGCTCTGAAATGTGTCTGCTCCCGCTGCCCTCCCCAGTTCAGTTGGTGATAGCAGTGATAAATTTCAATGGTTTGTTTCTTCTCTGAGGCCTCAAATATTTGCACATGTGTGCAGTTCAATAAAAAGTGCTGTTTAGGGAAGATGCCTATGATTTGTGTCAATGTTATACATGATATCTTTCCCCAACATGAATTGCCTTAGGGCAAAAACGGCATTTTGTTGAGAAAACACAATTTTCTCTCCTCAGTGGATTTCACTGTAAGTCATTTGTTTGGTTGTGCTACATAATTTCATGGATATTTTATTTGTGCAGTGTGTCATGTTGCTACTTGAAAACTCCTTTTAAATAACAATATAAGATCCAAAGTGTCCATTTATTAAAAAGATCACGCAAGTTTTCCTGGGTTTCAGTGTCTCTTTGTCTGGAATATTTTAATGGTCACTTCACTTCAGTCTTCCCTCTGTAATGAAATAGTAACTATTTTCCTACTGATAAAGGACTCTGCCTTCTGAAATTACCAAGAAAGAAAAAATAAATTTAAAAATTAGGAAATGGTTGTAAGACTGAACACAACCCCATCAAAATAAACCTGCAGTTACAACAAAAACCTTCAAAACGATCACAGACCTGAGCTTACAAACAGAATTTTCCACACACTGCTCATTCTACGATCATTGGATTTTGAGATGCCATTTCCCTAGTGACTTAAAATCTTCCTATAGCATTTTAACAGCATTATCTATATATCCTAGCTTCCCTTTGGAGCCCTCACTGAGTTTTCATCCCTTGGAGATCACATTTATTTGTGTACATGATTTGAGTGAAAGCAAATCCAATAAGACTCCAGTTGAAACAAACGTATTTTTGGCACCTCAATACCGAAATTATGTATGCAAATTGGAGGTAGTCCAAAGAACAGCCAAGAGAATGATGAAGGGAATGGAGTGCTTGGCTAAGGAAGAAATGTAAGGCTTCTAAATGTCCCAGAGTGGGTAAACAACAATAAAGGAACATAACAGCTCATAAATATTTAAAAGGTGTAAACATCAAATATGGATAGGGATGATTAATTCTGGACAAGGGCACGGAGTTAGTTCTGATTATATCATCGAAAAGAAAGGGGAAAAAAAAGAAAAGAAAGAGGAAACTGTTTAGTATCATCATTTTGAAACATGAAACATTAATTATTTATGCAAAATATTCTAGCATCTAATGGAATCTTATCACTTTTGAATATAGATGCTGAAAAATTAACACTTAATTATGCAAAAGAAGAGAACTTCTTTCTGAGGAAGTCAACTTTACTTATTTTCCACTTAGGTTTTCTTTTTTTTAAGATATAATTAATTAATTACTTTGAGAGAGTGTGAGTGGGGGGAGGAGGAGAGGGAGAGAGAGGATCTCAGTCACACTCAGGCGCCTGAATTGGGGCTTGATCTCATGACCCTGAGATCATGACCTGTGTAGAAATCAAGAGTCAGATGCTTAACCAACTAAACCGCACAGGAGCCCCACCACTTAGGCTTTCTTGAGAGAGATTTCCATTTTGCAGAATACTCATTTGACAATACCTCATGCTTCTACTTCCTAGTGGTCCTGAAGTGGATTAGCCATATGTCAATGGTGAGACCAGGTCCCACTTAGCCAGGTAGGGAAATGAGAGAGAGGAAAGTTAAGGGAACATTAAAATTTATCAGAAATCAAGTTTGAGACTAGAAACTGCTAAGAAGATTGTCTAGATTACAGAATCTAGAAAAGCAATCCTGGAATTTAGCATAGAAGGTGCCCAAGGCAGCCACATGCAGAAGAATGAAACTGGACAATTTCCTTACACCATACACAGAAATAAACTCAAAATGGATGAAAGACCCAAACATGAGACAGGAATCCATCAAAATCCTAGAAGAGGCAGCAACCTCTTTGACCTCAGCCACAGCAACTTCTGGCTAGACACAACAGAAACAAAAGCAAAAATGAGCTAGTATGACTTCATTAAGATAAAAAGCTTTTGCACAGTGAGGAAACAGTTGACAAAACCAATAGACAACCAACAGAAAGGGAGAAGATATTTGTAAATGTGTTATCAGATAAAGGGTTAGCATCCAAAATCTATAAAGAATTTATCAAACTCAACACCCAAAGGGCAAATAATCCAGTCAAGAAATGGACATGACACAGACAAACATTTCTCCAAAGAAGACATCCAAATGGAGAACAGACACATGAAAAAATGTTCAACATCACTCGGCATCAGGGAAACACTAATCAAAACCACAATAAGATACCACCTCACACTAGTCAGAATGGCTAAAATTAACAAGACAGAAAACAATTAATGTTGGTGAGGATGCAGAGAAAGGGGAACCCTCCTATACTGTTGGTGGGAATGCAAGCCGGTGCAGCCACTCTGGAAAACAGTATGGAGGTTCCTCAAAAAGTTAAACATAGAGCTACCCTGTGACCCAGCAATTGCACTACTAGGTATTTACCCCAAAGATATAAATGTAGTGAACCAAAAGAGCACCTGCACCCCAATGTTTATAGCAGCAATGTCCACAATAGCCGAACTATGGAAAGAGCCCAGCTGTCCATCAACAGATGAATGGATAAAGAAGTGGTATATGTGGCATACCATATAAGTGGTATACACACACACACACACACACACACACACACACACACACACACACACAATGGAATACTGCTCAGCCTTCAAAAAAAATGAAATCTTGGCATTTGCAATGATGTGGATGGAACTAGAGGGTATTATGCCAAGCGAAATAAGTCAATCAGAGAAGGACAATTATCATATGATTTCACTCATATGTAGAATTTAAGAAACAAAACAGGATCATAGAGGAAGGGAGGGAACAATAAAACAAGACAAAATCAGAGACGGAGACAAACCATAAGAGACTCTTAACTATAGGAAACAAACTGAGGGCTGCTGGAGGGGAGAGGGGTAGGGGAATAGGGTTACTGGGTGATGGGCATTAAGGAGGGCACGTGATGAAATGAGCACTGGGTATTATGTACAACTGATGAATCACTGGACTCTACCTCTGAAACTAATAATACATATATGTTAATTAAGTGAATGTAAATAAAATAAAATGTAAAAAATAAAACTTCCTTAAAAAGAAACTGAAAAAAAAAAAAAAGAAGGTGTCCCAGGAGCAATCAATCTATCAGGATAATGTTCCCCTCCCTTCATTCTTCCTTTCCTTTCTTTCTGCCCCCATCTTTATAAAGCATCTAGTATGTGCTAGGTTCAACCCTCAGGGTTAACAAAGCAAATATGTATTTGAACTGGACATTGCTCTCAAAGACATATTCATAAGACAAACAGTTAATTGCAATTGAATTGAGGACATATAAACACAATTAAAACAAGACAGAGGTAGGATCAGCCAAGTAAGTTGCCTTTGTGCAGGGTAATAGGGTTCTCCAGAGAAATACAACAAACAGGATATTCAGATAGATAGATATAAAGAAATTTACTATATATAGGAGTTGGCTCACATGACATGGAAGCTGAGAAATCCCCAGGATTTGCTGTCTACAAGCTGGAGAACAAGCAAAGCCCGTGGTGCAATTCAGTATGATTCCAAAGGCTCAAGAACCAAGATGGGACAGAAGATGGGTATCCCAGGTCAAACAGAGAACAAATTCATACTTCTTCTGCCTTTTTGTTCTATTCAGGTCCTCAATGAATTGGATGATGCCCACTCAAACTGGTGAGGGAGATCTGCTTTATTCAGTCTACAATTCAAATGCTAATGTCCTGCAGAAACAGACTCACAGACACACCCAGAAATAATGTTTTACCAGCTGTCTGGGCATCCCTTAGCCCCCGTCAAGCTGACAGAAAATTCATCACCATATGCAGTAAATACAGCACATTGCACTGAGAACATTTCAAAAACGAAAGGTTGTTATATCTTGTCCTCTCTAGAGTATAGGAGCCAAGCCCTGACATAACTAAACATGAGTGGTGTCTGACAGTAGATCTGGATGTCACTGGGAAATAATCAACACCTTTATGAAAACTTCATAGGCCAGCAAGGGGAGGCAGCTATAATCTTCTCTCACATAATAGCACTTTGCTAAGACAAATTAAAACACTACTCTCTCTTACCTCCTAGGGCATGCAGCCCAGTCTCTGATATAATAGAACCCACTGGAGCCCATAAATCAGTGGGAGGGGCAGGGTGTAGAGATAAGCACCATCAACCAGTCTCAGCAGGTGACCCAAGTTGACACACCATATTTAACAAAGCCCATATTTTTTGAGTGACCTTCTGTTACAAAAATATAGTCTCTGTCATTCAACTACTTAAGCCTTCTGTTAAGATGTATGGGTAATATCTTTGGATAAATTATACATAGATATGATTACAATTGAAATGTATAGGTGAACTTATATCAATCTGCTATGCACAAACTCAAACTCATAAAATTTCTAACACTTAAATTGTAGATTGTGCTGTGAACAAGTTCAGATAAATCTGGGTGTTGAAAAACAGCAAAAAGCAAAATTAGTATTCATATATTACAGTCTAATCAGAACCTTGGGAATCATTTCACTCTTTTTTTCTTTTTTTTAAATTTGAGAGGCTCTTTGGAAGGGAAGGGGAGACTCCAAATGAAAATTTTTCAAAAGAAAATTGATGCTTGAATGTGTGTGTGTGTGGGGGGGGTAATATCCAAGGACTAGGATTCCATAAACGCTTCCTGGAAGACACAAAAGCTGAATTTCTCAAGCACCACAATGAAAACTGATGGCAAGAGAACTGATTTTGTAGAACTAAGTAATAATTTGATCAGTCATCAAGAAAATGAACATATTTCAATAAAATAGTGAACTGTTGAGTGTACAGTTGTTTTGCAGGTTGCCATCCATTTTCATGATATCAGAAGACACAATTATTAATACATCATCATGACACAACCACAATTAAGGTTTCTCATAGTAGTATGATAACGACTTTTTAAAAATTTAATACCCTGGATATTGTATTTCATCCTTTAACTTCTGGAAATATTTACCTAGGTTTCTTGTGAATTAGAAATTTATTTAGGATGAGATCATGTTGTGCTTTAACACGACAAATGTACCCCTCATTACCCATCATCATCAAAGAATTTGATTAATCAGATTTTAGGAAGGGTTTTCTTCAAGAATATGAGTGTATATTGCAAATGCTTTTTAGTCATCTAGTAGACCTGTAGATTAAACAGAATTGGAAACCCTGTGCAGGGTAGCCCTCTTGGAGCCAGCTCCAAAAGAAGGATCTAAATACGGTGGAGGGACAAAACCACTCCAGTGCATGAGACAAAGAGACCAAATTTATTCAAAGCACACACACATACAATTTCCTCATAGACTTATTCTTGGAGTAGCCCCCCCCCATTCATTTAGAAAGCCCTCCCTGGTTACCAGGCAGTAATTATGCTAACAAGGACTCAGAATCAAGGTGTTCCATCTATTTCCACATTATTTTCACCTGTTTCTTCATTATTTCATAGTTACTAAGATCCTAGTTTACAACCAGCATATAGAAAGATTCTGCATTCACCAGATAATATCTTAATTCTTCAGGAGTACATAGTCTATTGGTAATGAAATGTGCTCTTGAGAAAGTAAGAATAATATTATTCTTTCATTCATATCACTGGGGGAAAAACACTACTTTTTTTTCTTAAATCACTTTGTCTTTAAAAACTCATTTTGTTGACATTTACCAAACAATATTATGGACTAACCACAGTGCTACTAAGTGTTACCAAAATAGTCCAACTTAACCTGTACCTATAGGCAATCACAACTATTATTATTTCAATTTTATGAATTAGGAAACGGAGGTTTAAAAGGGCTGAGGGGCACCTGGGTGTCTCAGTCGTTAAGCGTCTGCCTTCGGCTCAGGTCATGATCCCAGGGTCCTGGGATCAAGCCCCGCATCGGGCTCCTTGCTCCACGGGAAGCCTGCTTCTCTCTCCCCTACTTCCCCTGCTTGTGTTCCCTCTCTGGCTGTCTCTCTATCAAATAAATAAAATCTTTAAAAAACTAAAAAATAAATAAAAGGGCTGAAACAGCTTCCCCATAACCACATCCCTGTGCGTCTGGCCCTGGAAAGTGGATTTTTCTCACTCCTCCAAACTCTCTGAAATTAGTTACAATTCAGCCTGGTACTGCACAAAGAACTTGAAAAAACTCCAAAGGAGGATTCAGGTCAGATTTCACATTGATCCAAATCCAAGGGACAGTTACTGAAGCTGAAAGCCCTCCAGACAATGAAGGGCTGAGCTCTGTTTGATGAAAATACAGGTTTTCTCCCCCTAAAACTTCAAGCCTCCTAAGAAGCCAACCTTCTCAGATCATAATGGTGAAATTCATTTTCTATAAAAAAATGACGTTTAAATAAATACCAGGCTTCAACCTTCAAATATGCCAAGAGGTGAGCTTACAGAAAAATAACTTTTAGTTAAAGATTTTGCCCTTTCAAAAATAAGCCAGCATTTTAATGAAACTTACCAACAACCACCACTGCCCTCACATGTTATATACCTGGTCCATACCCTGTGTCACTCCCTCTGGCTACACTCTTCTACCATGCATTGCAATAATTAAATGCATTCAAAACTGTATAAGGCAAATGATTAAGAAAAATATTCTTACCAGTAAGTTAAGTTCCCCTTAAGTTTCTCTGCGGTATGTCTGCAGTATTAAGACGGGGTGATTGTTTGCAGTTTATAGCACCTAGAGATAGATTTGAAAGTTATAATTATGGAAATAATTTTTATCTAAAAAAAAAAAAACATTTTTAGGGGCTCCTGGGTGGCTCAGTCCGTTAAGTAGCTGACTCTTGATTTTGGCTCAGGTCATGATCTCAGGGTCCTGGGATGGAGCCCTGTATAGGGGGCCCATGCTCAGCTGGGAGTCTGCTTGAGGATTCTCTCTCTCCCTCTCCTCCCCAAAAAATCCCCAAATGCCTAAACAATATCACTGTTCTATTGCTATAAAAAGACATCCTATAAATTCCTATCTATGAATAAATGAAGCAGAGAGGGCAGACATGCAGAAAACAGTCACGTAATTATACTTCTCATTGAAAAAATTATGGACATGTCTTCTCTCACAAATTCAAGTATTTTGCAACAGACCACAGTATACAGGAATTTCTACCTGGCAGTCCTCCATGAACTGTTCTTCACAGTAGCCACTTACTTTTGTCTGAGGCTGTGACCAATGTGTCAACATAAAACAGTAGAGACTAAAGTGATGAAAGCTCTCTCAGAAAGCACTCTCCAAGACCAGAACTCTATGAATTACACAGTTAACATAAGCCTTGGATTCAAGAGACCAGCTCTCACCCAGGTGTGCTAATTCCAAGGCTCCCATCTTTTTAAAAATCAACATAAGGAATAAAGGAAGTGTTTCAACCAATACATACAATCCTTTTACTGCTAATTCCCAGATAATTTGAGGCTTGACTTCCAATCCCTAAAAGATTGCTTATAAGCCTTTTTTCAGATGCTGTCCCACGAGTATACCTTTAAAAAGCTAAGACTTTCTGTTGAGCATAAGGACAGTCAAAAAAGTCAAAGAACTGGTTTTGCATACCAGTTGTCATAACTTAATGAGCATCATTCAGAAGAGCTAAATTCCATCTAGTAATTCTAACTCATTCTGGTAGAAATTACTAATTAAAGATAGTTATAAAACTACAATATTTTTGGCCTGACAAAAAGAGAAGAATGGTTAAAATATCCAAGCAACTCAATTCCCTTTCTTTGCATTATTTGACAGTATCTTTGGCCTTATTCCAAAAGCTGCTGCCAAAAAGTTATAAACAGATTGCAATGCCTTCACAGAGAACTTCACACCAATACAGTGAAAAACAAATTCTACCCTGGCAAGTATGAGAATAGTCCCTACTGCTGTCCAATTGACCAAGTGACACACTGCACAGGCTGTGCCCTGTCTACTTTTGTTTAGTGACCTCATTTCAAACCCTTTAGGCCTACTTCTAACGCCATTATTATTTGCATTATAACACACAGAATTGTTTATGGAAGACTAACAATGCATAGAACAACATTTAATATGGCTCCTCATCCATGGCACACATTGCTAGAGAATTATTGTGTTTACTGAGTTCTACAGGCTAATAGAAGAGTTTGACCTAACTAGAGGAGCACAGAAAATCATCATTTTGGTGCGTCCAGCATCCTCTATGTGTTACAACAGTCATTCAACAGGGAAAAGAAGAAATGAAATATTTGCACATGTTGATTCCAAAAAGGATCTACTGATGTCCTGCCCCACTGAATGAAGCTGAACTTAAATGATGTGATATAGGATGTCCTTTATCTATCCCAATGATAAAGAATGTTACAAATCAGATATTTTATTCTACAACCAGGGAGCCACTTTTATAGTTCTAATATTAAATCTCTCTGAGACATCTTTCCAAAACCCAACCATGTCATACAGCTACTACAAGGGGCTCTTCCCAATGGCTCCCACCTTCTTAACACTCTCAGGGACACCCATGACAACAGGGATCAGTGCCCGTGCTGAATTATCCACACTCTTGCTTAGCATTTTCAAGACTATTGTTTGGCATTAGGCATGAAGACTGTAGCTACTGATCAAACTTATTTGTATGCTCACAGCAGCAGCATATGCCTGCTGAGCTCTCATCTGCTTCATTCAACTTTGGTTGAGAAAGCATTGCCATTAATCATGGATATAAGTTCTTTGCAACTAATCCAGTCACCGTGTGTGTGTGTGTGTGTGTGTGTGTGTGTGTGTGTGTGGCGTTGGTGAATATAAAGGATTATCTCTTATTATTGTCTTTCGTTATTTCATGTTGTAGGTATATGAGCTCCAAAACAGGGTACAGAGACAATCCTTTAGAATGCAACAATTATATATGTATTTGAAATTATAACACATATTAAAAAACCTCTATGTTGATATTAAAATATCTCTATATACATATGTGAGTATACACGCTATTTTAAAATCATTTTATTTCATTCTTTCTAATTCTTGTTTCCTTTTCTGTTTTCTTATAGTAATATTTAGCACACTATGTATCTGGACAATTCAGATATGCATATATTGGACATATAGGCTCAAACATTTTTAATGATAAGGGAGTGCACACACACACAACAATCCTGTAGTCCAAGAAAATGTCTTTCTCATTTTACTTTTATGATATTTATCAGGATATATAATTCTTTGAAATTATTTAATCTACAAGACTTTATCTTTTCTCCCACCATCATTGATATAGATACCAATATCTTATTTTCTATTCTTAGCAAATAGTTGTTTGTTTCTTTTTCCAAAGTCCCTAAGTTCCCACTACTTAAGAGATTTGAATAAATATACCTACCAAATGCAAAGAGGGGAATAAACAGAAAAACTGATGGGAAAATCTAAAGAATCTTGAAGTATATTAAAGCAAAATGGGCCTTTGGGCCCTTGTTGGTTGGTTGCTTTTTTACTGGGGAAGAAAAAAAAGCATGAGTGAAAAAAATATATAAATACATAGTGTAGGTACATCAAATTAAAATGTACTCACTTAAGGAAACAAAACACGGAAAGAGAGAGAAAGCACGCTAGAGGGAGAAATGGAACTTCCTCAAAAGCAAAAGGCATTAACGGTGGAAAGGTGGATGAGGCTGGTCCACTCAGTGAACAACACACCTGTGGCAGCAGCTTTGAATCAGGTAAACTCAGGTCATCAGGCCTTCCTAATATGGATATCTTACTGCTCTGGTTATTTAGTATTTGAAAATAGTATTTTCCACACAATGTGGGCCCTGAAAGCAAACCAATGACTTCATCAGGTACTTAGCAAAAGATCTCTTCCAATCCTGAAGGAAAAGTTGGCTGCCTAAGAATTATTTAGAGATAATATATCACTTTTCTACATGGCACATTCCTAGAATATTTTTAAGGTGAATTCTCTTTACTTACTAAATTTCCAACACATCATATGTAAATTGCAACTGCATTCTGGACAAAATTAACTAAAGACCAAATGGCTGTCACAATACTCTTGCTAGGTTTCACTCTGTATTTTATACAATGAATCTTGAGTTCAATAAGGACATATTTCGATTGTTACTGTTACCCCCGTGTCACTGCCTGGTCCCATAATGAAGCTTAATAAATACATTTTGGATGGAGTTAAATGTATGCAAGCTACACATACCAGAAAAATAGCAGTACCTGACAGTTACTCAATCTGACAGTCACAGGTGTGAATGTCACACACCATTAGAGTAGGAGTCACCACCTTACCACCACTGTGCCTATCAAAGGGACACTGTAACATAGAGAAAAAAGAGACAGAGGAGCGGAAAATAAAGTGTGCCCTTACTCCCTGTGTGACATAACCTTCTGGAACGGCAAAGGTCTCGTCGGTAAGTAAGGGATAACGGTATCTATCTGGCAGGATAGGTGTGAAGGATAAGGACTAACTTGTATAAAATGCTTAGCTCAGGGCTGGGATCTAAAAGGTGTTCAGTAACCTGAGGGGCAGCACAGATCCCCTATACCACCCAGAGGCAGTCAATGAGGCTGGGAGGAGCACTTGATCAGATATAACTGAAACTCAGCCAATGGGATGAAACCACACTACCTCAAATGGTGACACCGGAGCCTTGACAAATGCTCTATAAGCCACATATGTGAGCAGTTACATGTCTTATTCTCACAAGACAGAAAAGGATTTCTTTAATAATGTTTTTCAAGCTTGTGAGTTTTCCTTAAGGCCAGGAAAAAACAAACAAACCTCTTTAATTTTTGCCTCCCTAGTACTCAAGAACAGTGACTGCCATATTGTCAAATACTGGTTGCTTAATAAATGTACATTGAATGAAAATACCTATTCTATATGTTTGTGTTGTGTGTTTACATGTGTGTATGTGTGCAGTGTATGTATGTATTTGGAATCCAGAGTGGCTATTTTTTATGTTTTTATTTTATTTTATTTTAAAAATGTACCTAATCTCAATTAATCTCAAACACTGGAGATGTTTTAGTGATTTTAAAAACAGACTGAGAGCACCTCAGCTTTCTGTCAATATTTGGGTCAATATTCTTAAAAAGTTGGGATTGAAAACACCTCTCTTTCTCTCATCAACTAGCATTTGCTTGGCAGAAATGAGCTCTTGATTCAAATCACTGAAGTCCATATGCTCAAAATGTGTACCAAGATACTCAATTCGATTTTTTTGAATGAATATAGTTTTTTTTAAAGGAAAATGATAAATGATGCAAATAATATTCCCTAGAATATAAGCTGGTAGTACAGTAAAAATGAGCACACAATAGAAATTCTTCAATATGCTTAACATAAAATGATACACAATAAAATGAGAATTAGGAAAACTATGATCAACAGCAAAAGTTGCTTTGGAAATTATTATAAGCAAAACCACATACAAGAAATATGAAAGTGTTGAATTTTGCACTATATGTTAACTAACTAGAATTTAAATAAAAAATTGGGGGAAAAAATTGAGTTTGTTCCTATGAATACATTTGAAGGAATACTGTGAAAGAAAATAGTCCCCATTTCTGATCACTAGTTGCAGCATGGGTTTACTCAAAAACAATTACTGACCCCCTGCTAAAGGTCATATAGGATTTTTCTTCTAACATTAATTGAAGACATACTTTGTGCTGCACGTTGTACTAAGTAATTTATCTGTGATTCACAAGTGCCCTCTAAA